CTGGGGCACTGCACTATTATTGTATTGCTATTGTATTGCTGTTGTATTGCTATGGTATTGTATGTCAGAGAATTGGCCACACGTGGAACCTTTATAACTGGTGTCTGAGTTGTAGGGAACAGCCTGGAATTGGGCCGGACTGGGCCCAACACTACTTTTTATGTCACTGTTTTCTAATCTTACTCTTCCCCCCAGCCCTAATTGCCTTCGCAACGCAACCCTTCCTTCTTTTTTCTTTTTACTTTTTAATTTCAACCGTTTACGTTGCCCATTGTTATTATTTTAACCTTTTTTTTGTTTTGTTTTGTTTTGTGTTTGTTTGTTGCACTGTACGACTACTACGAGAAAGGCCAGCGCCAGAGGGATGGTACAAAAAATGAGAGGAAAAAAAAATCTGACAATGACGGAACGAACGTGGAGGTTTCAATTTCACTGGAATAGTAATTTACTTTAATTGAATATTACAATTACGGATGCGAATGGGGGGTTCTCTCTTCTCTCCTCTCCTCTGTACTGTTCTTTCGCTGCTTTTATTTCTCTCAAGACAAAAAAGCAGGCGCCGCTCAAATGGTAAACTGATTTGTCCGGAAGCGGTTAAAAACTACTTGTCACCTTAACTTCACATCCAACTGCTCTCCCGTTTTTCTGATTCGCTAATTTCCCTTCTTCCTATTTTTATTTTCAAGTAGGTGAAAATTTTCTATTTATTTGACTTAGTTGCCCCTTATCATAAAATGTAACTAATCACATTAATCCTGCATTATATGAGGTTAAGAGACAATCTTCCGTCGCAATTATTCATATAACTCAGAGATGCATTCTTGTATTCAGATTGACCATAAATGTAACTGTGAAGTGTGAACAACAATTGCAAAATATGAGGTTCAGTTGTTCAACATGTAAAATGCAAAAAATGGGACAATAAAGTTACAACTGGGGAGGGGCTGGGGAATTATAAAGAAAATTGTCTGTCTACCTCAACCTTTGCTAAAAACTTTAGTAACTATATTCATTTCTCTATGCAAGCAGCAGTCCTTTACTGTTCTACAAAATTCTTTGGCACTCACCTCCCATCTCCTGGTTCAAGTTGTAAGAGTGTTGAATTGTATCAATGTACAAGAATTGGCTTCCATCGCAATTGGTGTCGAGGATCTTTACTGGTATTTGATACCATAAATCCATAACCGGATCTTCAATAAAATCTGAAGGAGGGAGCTAGTTTCAACCAAACTAAACACGATGACGCAGTTTTGATTGTTTAATCATGAAATCAAGTGTCCATTTTCAGTGGGAGTCCTCGTATGGCCTTGATTGTTGTGATGCATTGTCATCTGGACATCGCGAGATCGTTGGGTCCTGGCTTTTGCATATGGAGCATCTCTTGCTGCAACAGAGATCCAATAATGTATAGTTACTAGTTAGATATTAGTGGCTAAGATTTCCCATTAGAAATGCCCCTTTGGGCGATTGCTTTTAGTGATATGCCGAATCTAGAATAGCATCTCCCTGCCTCGTCAGGGATCTAGGTGCCCCAGTTAACAGAGACGACAATTATTGAATCACCAATCATATCCCTATCCAAGAAATGAACCTATGTATAACCCATGTGTTACTTCTAGTTCTCTAAGTTAATCGACTGTTTCTTACCGGCATTCTGCGCTCGGAGAATATTTTGCCGCCTTTTCCAACAGCAAACCGAAAAAGTAATTATGAGCAAGAACATAATTACAGCTCCGAATGCAATCCCAATTTTAGCACCGGCAGAGAGGTGTGACCCACATGCAGGTAGCCCAGGTATACCACAGAGACCGGCATTATCAGTAAAACTGTACCATCCATGGTCAGAATATCACGTTGTTTTATAAATATGATGTTCATCTGACGTATTTAATTAGTAAAAAGGCAACTTACTTGAAGCTAGCCCTGTGCAAAAGCCTAGCACCTAATGCGGCAGGCACTCTTCCAGACAAAGAGTTTCCGTTAAGATTGCTGTGAATCAGGGGTAAAAATAAAGTCTTGATTTGATCATTAAGTCCAATTTTATTTTGAAGATAGTCTGAAGTATCTTACAGTATCCGTAATGATGTCAACTGTCCAAGACTTTCAGGAATTGATCCATTGAAGAAATTGTAGGAGAGATCCCTGATAGAGAAAATATGTTTCAAGTATTGCACTACCACAGTTGTGTAGATCGAGAGACAGAAAACCCTAATATAAATGAAACAACAATCCAAATCTAATAAAACAAAGCAATTAGCATCATACTTATATACATATAAATTAATGTTGTACACATTCTTGACATATTAGAAACATTAATGGTACTCCTCATAGATATAGCACCAGTATCTCATTAGCCAGCTTAAGTTCCCTCTCAACCATTTTAAACATCCCAAGACATCATCGACAACTTTGCTTGTTTTCATAATATTTTTTATTAGATATTATCTCTATTATAAAAAGGTTCTATGGCACAGAGGAGAGAAGTTGGAGAGGTGATGATATATCATCTCCCCCCCTTCAATGGGGGCCAATGGCTGGACCAAACAACAAAACACAAACCCGTTCGCCAGTCTCTTGAAACTTCAAACTGAGGGTTGTATCGTTTGTGTCATGGTCTTATTGTCTTCAATTGTGCAGCATTAAGATTTATATTAATCTTGGCTGGCTCTTAAGTTAAGCCTCAACTAAAACTTCAAACTGATGTTAACTGAGGGTTGTATCGTTTGTGTCATGATCTTATTTTCTTCAATTGTGCAGCATTAAGATTTATATTAATCATGGCTGGCTCTTAAGTTAAGCCTCAACTAAAACTTCAAACTGATGTTGAAGTTGAATAAGCAAAGGTTCAATCATAACCTAAGCTAACTCGCTACCATAACTTGTTATTATGTATAGGAATAGTGTCCTTAACTATGCCAAATGAAAAATATTGGTTAATTTTTATCTAATCAACGTGCTTTCTTTATTATTAAATAGTTATGAATTTTTAAAGGCAGATGCAAGTACTAATGACGCTAGACTTTAACCTAGAATTATAACATAATGGCGAGCCTTACATCAAAACTCTTGTCTTGAATTTCGACATAATTGGAACTTCAACATGAGATGGTTTCGGGGAGTATTCCCATGCAATGACTAGTGGCCTGTGGGAATAAATGTAATACCAATATGTGCCAACCAAACTTCCTTGTTGCTTACATTGAAATATGTGGAACACAAACACATCCTCACTTTTTTCGTCAATTGATGCTTGGTGACTCTTGACGCACAACTTATCATGAGGTGACTCACTCACTTAAGACTAGTGTCCCCCCAACAGTATGCAGATTCAATACCATGTTCCTCCCAAGATGTATTCTAAGACGTCTTCACATCAAAGGAGGGGAGGAGTCATCCACCCTCGTAGGATGCACTTTTTGCCCCATGCCGCACACGTTTGCATGCCACCATGTGCCCACTTGACATTTGTCTTGCTCATATCGGTTGCTTGCCATATTCTTATGATTGAAGCTCAACTCTAGGACTGGGACCTTCTCCACCTATCATGTCATTACCCTCATCAATGGCCTGCTGACATCTTTGTTTTGAATACCTCCACCACCCCAATATAGGTTGCAATATATTTTCTCTAATGTCATTGTGGAATTCTTCTACCAGTGTGTGTTGGCTTCACATTTACCAATGACATTTGTTTCCATTTTAATAATAATAAAAAATAAAGAAAACAGTGTTGTTTCTTGCAGGGTTGCGACACTATCTCTCATTATAATTGCCTCTTCTCCTCACTTAACTTGACAGCACCTAAATGAATTCTAAACTAGATTGTTAAATGGGAAACTTTCTCGCAAGCTGGAAAACCTTCTCTCGGACTCCTCAGATAAAAGAAGAAATTTTTCTCTTTTAAATAGGAGCTTATCCCTTCCACAGCATACTTGTTCCCCCATAGACTTGGCCCAGATTTGCTCCATAAAGCGTCACTATTTTGCTTTGGCCTTTTCATACCCCATAGTTCGTAAACTTTAGTAAATGTAAACACGACGATGCAACGAGGTGCGTCTCCAAGCCAACTATTAGATCTCATATGCTGGCATCTTTCTCGAGTATTTCATTGGAAACAAATTAGTGCTTCCTTAAGCTTATTAGTTACCATTTATATAAACAACCATCACAAATCACTCTCTGTGGTGTTCGGTTGCAGTATCACCTTCTACAAAGAATCCACTACACAACTGCAATTTTCCCATTACATTCCGAGGTATAACTTCCTTTGAAATCCACCACCAAGTCCATTGAACTAACGTGATTTAACTGGCCTCCCACAGAACTTGATGCATGGTGTCGCCCACTCTCTCTAAAGCACAATTTCTTGAGAGAACAACCCACATGGTGTGGCTTAAGAAACTCAACATTCTCCAAAACCCATAAGAAATTCACCATGCACACAACCAACCCAGTCAATTGCATGATCAAGTTTTTCTTATTCATCTCTACGAACACTGACTTGTCAGGATTTCTGACCCAATTGGGCAACAAGGTGCACCCTCCACAGTCGGCATTAAAAGTTTTAAGCTACTCAACAACTACATGTAATAATTAATGTCGACTGCAAAACTGATCAAACCTGAACATCATTATTAGGCAATTATTCTTGTTATCAAGGAATTTAGCTTATCATCTAAGTTATCATATGTACCAATCTCTATTTCTAAAATTGTACTGGTCCAACTAGATGGAAGCTCTTTCAAAATATGTATCAACAATGTAGATTAGATTACAAAAATATTAGAAACCTAAAAAGCTTTAAGATAAGTTTATAAGAAACACTCACAAAACTTCTAACTTGGCTATTGTTCCGAGTGAGGCTGGAATGGGCCCATGGATGCTGTTTCCACTTAAGTTTCTGGACAAACATGTATCAATGGATTAATGCATGGAGCAACCAACGGCCATCATAAGTAGGAGCTTCAATTCCTAAATTTCATAAACTTCATTGTAGATATCTTTACCAGTAATTTTATTTTAATCAGGTCCCAGATTAAGGATTTTCTATACTACTTAAAAATCTGTTAAACGGAAAAAATTTTAAATAATTAAATAAAAAGCACACCATAAAATCAACCAAGAAACCAATAAAAAAATATTGTCACTATTTTACTACAAAGATGGGGTGCAACTAACAATATCTTACATGCTTTGTAGATGACGCAGTTGTGATGTTTCATTTGGCAAGAAACCCATTAGACCTTGGTTGTCTAGACCCCTGACCATGCAAAGTAGAAGTTAATGCTTGTAAAAATTCTGAAAATAATTGAAAAAACAATTACAGAAGCCATCAGGACACAAAAATAACAGAACATTGAAATATTGTCTATATGGTTGTATCAGTATGATATCATCTCAGATAACTATAAAATTTTCAAAATCTTTAGAAGGAGCAAGATAAAGGAAGTACAGTCCATCAATGACCCATTTGTTTCCAGCCTTATCGTATTGGCAGTCTGCTCCACTCCAAGGATGTTGTTGAGGAACACATGGATCACCATTCCACCCAAAACGAACAGGAAGAGCTAATGCCGCCTTCAGGCTCTGCAAAGCCCTAACTACAATGATGCGACAAAATCAGTGTATATGTCTCCAGAATTTAAAGATGAAATGCAGTATAATCACATATTATGCACTCCATAATTGTGGAAGTTGAAACAAATATTTCTTTCAATAAGAAAAAGGAGGGACAAACATGATGTACGAGAAAAGAAGCAGGGCACTTGTCTGCAGCCTACCTTCATCTGGGGATGTTTTCACTTCGGTTGGAACAATTTCAAAAACCTCAATGGCATTGATTATGGCATGACTACCTTCTCTAGGCTGCAAGGTTATAGTCAAAGTCCTCCCATTGACAGCAACGGTCGTGTTAAGCACAAGAGCAGTATTCTGACCACCACTGAGTTTCAAAATATCCACATCTCTAAATTTAACATCGCCATTTATCAAGATGTCAAAAATTCTTTGTCCTGCATTTCTGATTGAACCATCAATCTCAGCAAAGTGAAACCATATTGAGTAGTTTCTATTGGGATCCACATCCATTACATATGTCAAATCAGGTTGACTATCGGTGCTTGCAAGTGCAGACCGATATAGAGCTTCTGGATAAAAGTTTGGCAAAACTGAAGCCTGTTTGATGCTGCTTTCAACAGAGATGATATGATCAGACTGCTGACCAAAAGTTTTAATGGGAGTCCAAAATCTATCCCCACCCCATTGGTTCCCATTATAATCTGCATCAAACTTGGGCTTCCCAGCACCACAGTCCAGTCTTGTGGCCGTCCTAAGGATCACTCCTTGACCCCAATTGGGACCAAAATTGTATGCTCTCTCATCAATTTGAAGGATTTCAATCGCAAGGATAGCTGGATCTCCATGACCTGTGCTATGGAAGCAGAGAGAGGCAGAGCCATCCGTTAAAAATACAAGGGCTTCAGCAAATGTTTGCTCATCACGGTTGCTCCACCCTGATTTAAGAGAACAAATCTGCGTGCCTTCAACAGAAACATCGAATAGAGGTTCATTGTCAAAATTAGGTTGGTTAACAAATCCAAAGAAGATTCTCACAGAGTAGTGCCCCTTTGGCACTCTTTTGATAATGTAGCAATTTTCAGGACCCGTAGACAGGGGGAAGTAGCGAAGGGTGTTTAGAGGAGGAGAGATGTAACTCGGGCGTGTCGCATTAGCTGGTATCCCTCCTGTATATGCAAAGTCCTTGAACCATGGTGTATTTGTTGGAGGCGTGCGGACGTCATGCCGAGCTCCACAACTTATGCGCATAGCAAATGGTACTGCAGTATTAGAACACAAGAAATAATATCAAACAATGAGCATGAGAAGATAGAACGTAGAAGTAATATTAAGAAAGACACAGATGGAATAAATCGAGTTTTCAGACGTTTAGTATGTGCTAGAATTATGAAAAAGCTCGTAGATATTGAATTCCTTCGAAACGAGGAGTGTCTTTCAACAACTTCTTGGAATGCCCATTGTCCAAAAAGAAAATAAATTTAGTCCTCCTCTGCAGGCATGAGTATTAACTCAGAAACTCCTCATTTCCTTAAATTCTCAAATGAATGAAGAATGACTAATTTCGCACTCGCATAACTCCATCTATACCCTCGGACTTTCCAAAAACTGTTTCGAGAAATCAAGCAACGAGCCAATCATCACATCTCCAAATCGGATGCAAAAAATAACAACAACAACAAATAACTCATTAGCATTCCATTCAAAGGCAGCAGAATTCACTTCACACTCAAAGCAACAAAAGCTAAATAGTAGGGGCGCAACTTAGAGATCTATCCGCCGATGAATCCGGTTCAAATTTTATTCCAACTAAAAACTGTAATCCAGAACAATTGAATTAAAGTAAAAGGTAGCAATAGCATGCAGTTGTGGAGACTCCTAATTCATTAGAGCGAAAGCAGGAATGAGAGAGAGTAGCGGAAGCTTACAAGAGCGAGCTGAGGAGTGAGAGAAAAGGAAGGCGATAACTAGAAGCGAGGGGAGTAGAAATCTGAGCATTGTTAGCAGCTGCGAGGAATGCTTCATGAAGAAGAGCTCAATTCCAATTCTGATCTACAGTGCTCCATCTTCTTCTTCTTCTTCTTCTTCCTTAGTTATGAGGGAAGAGTGTGGTCGGACGTGTGCGCAGCTTTCATTTACATTTTACAGGTGAGAAGAGAATTGATTATGCGTTTGCTCAGTTGACCCGTGAAATGAGGCTGTAATAATGTGGTGCTGCTGCTTATCAACGCTCATCCGCCTCAACATGCCTACTAATCTATCTTTACCAAATTTTCATCACAAAAAGCTTGGAATTATTTTATATTACATCAACATCTCACCGTCCAAATTAACCTACGTGGCAGGGTCATGGAAAGTACGATGTGTGATGCCACAGAGAAGTAAGTTCACTTTTCTAATAAAGATAATTATCCATTCTTATATATAATTTAATTTTACAAATCCAATACTAATTCCACGTACATTTATCCCTTTGTTGGAAGAAGCCAACGGCCAGGAGACGGGGAGATGCAGATAAATTGGTAGTCGTGTGGTGGGGAAATCCGAAATGACGATAATACCCTATGGTTGATCTGAGTGGTCAGTGGAGGATGCTAGTTGAGTTGGAGTCAGTGGAAGTCAACTGAGTATAGGTGAAGATACTTTTTGACCACCAATTCTTGCACAATCATCGGGTATTTAGTGAGTCTTGATTTGAAAGGGATAAATAGAAATAGAAGAGGAGTATTTCAACTTAAAATGTTTTACTTTCGAAATTGGAGAAATTCTCAGCTAATTTTTCTAATTTTTGCTTAATATGATGTTCCCTCGAACCATCGCTAATATCTACTCAATATTTTTTTTTTTGAGGAATATTTATTTTGCTTATATTAACCGACCTCTTTCTTTTTTCTCCGTAATGATAGATCATATGTAGTTAATTTTGAGCATAGTTCAATTGGTTATGTTACTTAACTTTAACAAAAAGATTGTGAATTCGAATTTTCACTCCCACCTGTTTGTGGAAAAAAATCATATTCGGTATTAATTAGTTATTTTAAGTCAATATTTGATAGTCTCTTTTTACAAGAGTGTCATGTGATGATAATTCTGTTTTTTTTTTTTTTTTGCTTTCTATCATTTTTTTAAATAATGTTTGTTTCTTCACTTTTTTTTTCTTTTTTAATGTTTTTCACAATTCTTAAATACACATTCCTGTTAATCAAACTTAAAAAAATATATATAGTAATGTAAGGAAAAAGTTTTTAGATCTTCAAACATTATATTACAAAACAAATGGAAATGATATCTATGAACTTAATTTAAAAAAATGTTATCAAATCGAACTTAGATTTTGTTGGAAGTGTTGAGTCAACACTGGAGTCAAAGGTGGACCTGCAGACAAAACATTCCCACGATTAGTATGTTTGGAAACTTAAGTTAGTACTTGATGGAATTTGTGTCTACCTGAACTTAGTAGGAATTCTATTATGTTACGTACCTTGCAAAGGAATGGACTTCACCAAAGAGCTTTGGGAAGCATTCGCGTTTCTAGATTGGTGTAGAACTGGGTTTCGTTAGGTTAGTTAGAGGTAATTTTACCGGACCCATTTCGTTTCAGCCTATCTGAACTAAAATACAAACACGCATTTCTATTAAATACATGATACATCCCCTGCATAAACAAAAATGACCTATCTCAATTATGTGCCATACATCTTTGGTTATAATTTGAACCAACTTCTAAAATTCATTGTTCTTAAATTCATTTCCTTTTGTATGGTTAATTGAATTGAATGAAAACTCGAGGAAAATGGATGTAATAAGGAGAACGACATCTAATTTGTTTTGGTAGATGGAACTTGTGAATTGTGATCAAGACCTTTGAATGGGATGCGCTTGCGCTTCAATTACAGCACTCGGCTTGCTGGCACGGCACTCCCTGCACGGCGAAACAAACGACCGAAACACGCTCGACCACGACGTCGACGACGACGACTCCTCTTCTTCATCTTTGATCCTTCGACCCCCTCTTCTGATACTGTTGTTTCTTACCACCAACCATCTCTGCCCATCATCATCTCTGATCCTTCGCCTGCCACTGCCACTGCCACCATCATGATCATCGCAACAAATCGGACCAAACTCGAATCCTTGGTCTCCTGTTTTGATCAGACCCCCAGAATTGGGTTCACGGTCTTTACAAGTTAAGTAGGCAGCAAAGGAGAGAGAAGAGCTAAACGAATAACTCGAGCTGCCACTGCTACTGATATCGGGCTGCGCAGGGTTCTTTGGGTGGATTCCCATGCCTGAGTTTGAGTTTGCCATGGCCCCAATTTGAAATCTCTCTCTTTATATACACAAATGGAACCTGTTTTCTTACTTCAATATCTTGGAACTGCAAGTATACCTTTGTCTTTGCCTCTCTTGACTTGCTGATCACATCTCCCCTTCTTTTTTTTTACCTCTGACTATGGTGGACATATCAAAGAGTTTTGGCTAATATATAAATACTGATTTCATCTAACTCAACGCTTGTAGGTGAATAAACCAAAGATGGGTTGGTATCTGAAAATCACATTACCAAGCATATAAAATTACACCCAAACTACTTGGACTGCGATGCCGTCTTTCTTGGGTTTTCGTTTTAAATATATATAATATGATATTGAGGCTTTTTATATAACTACACTATTAATTTATTAATAAATATTTGCAGTAGAGGGCCTGTATATGCTCCATTTTACTTTTACAGATGGTTTAATTAGATAATTACCACCTGTAGTCTTGCAGGGGAATAGGACAAGGCCCATCTTTTGTTGCGTCTGCATTCCTATTCTTTCTCCGAAGCCCCGCTTTACCGAGTCTTCATCCTTCGTCCTCGACTCTCTCTCAATGCATTAACTACGAGAGAAGGAACAACTTTTGGACAATATATTAGCAAAGGCAGACACCAAACTTCAAAAAACCACATCGAGAAGAGAGAAACATTAGAGAAAGAACAATGCTTGAGAAGCTTTGGGATGATGTTTTGGCTGGCCCTCACCCTGATCGCGGCCTTGGAAGACTAAGGAGAATCGCCACCAGCATCACAGGTGAACCTTTTCAGTTTTCCCACCCAAAAAAAAAGCAAAACTGGTGACTTGTAGTTAATTAAAATCACTAGCATTTATTTATAGAATTGCAATGACTCCAATTTCCATGCACTTATGGGCTGTAGATACGGAGGGAGAAGGACGAAAGTACCAGAGATCCATGTCGATGCCTAGCCCCGAAACGCCGTCGTCTCCGGCGTCGCCGCGTGCGGCCGACAATGTGTGGAGGAGTGTGTTCAACCCAGGTAGCAATCTCGCAACCAAGGCCATCGGCACCAATGTTTTCGACAAGCCTCAGCCCAACTCTCCCACCGTTTATGACTGGTAATGCAACTTTGCAACTTCTAACGGTTCTGATCTTCTTCTACCTTTTGACTTAGACTGTAATTAATCAAATGAATGAGACCGGCTTCACTTAATCACAGGCTCTACAGTGAAGGATCCCGGAGCCAGCACCGCTGATGTAAATATGGTTCACGGTGTGCGCCTCTCCACTGTCCGGCTGCAATTGATCTTTCATAAGTTTTAGTATCATCCCTTAATAAAAGCAAGCTTTGCAATGAGTCGCCCCTCCTTGAATAAGTTTTGCCTTTGCCGTGAATGAAACGAAGGCACGGTGGCATTCCTGATAATGACAAAATTTTGGTATTTTTCAATTAATCAAACGAATGAACGGTTTCATTGCATCCAAATGCCACGTAAACTCTAATTGTAGAAAAATGATTATTGGTTTCCATATATTACAAAGAAACAGAGGGGAAAATGGAATAACTTCCAAATAGCAAAGCAATATAGACAATGAGTAGTTACCCACTATTGAAGAACGTCCAAATTTGGTAAATTTGGGACGTCTAAGATTATAATATAAATTTTTTACATGGTTTGATTTTTCTGGGTTAATAGAGACGTGGTTGCTTGTTCTTTTAAGTCGTCCTCAGCCCAGCTGTGATTGACGCGGCTTCTTCTGATATGCCAGGAGCTGTGCATGGTGAACTTGGGGTCAATGGTATTGATATGAATCGGGGCAGAGGACATAGAAAAATAAGCAAAAGAAACTGTAACAATATGGCATCCATAAATTTCAAAGGTAATTTTACCAGTTGGCCACGAGTGGAGCAGTGAGTTTTGAGCTCTCCCAAGGTTTGTTGCTCTCTCAAAACTTGAAAATTATCTTCGGTGGGGTGTGGAATTAATGACTTTGAAACTAAAACGTCAATCGAGGTTGAAGGCTCGATTTTGGGGTGTAGTTCTTGTATCAACAACATATCAATTTCATCAGCTTGAAATCCAGTTTGATGAGCAACGTACTACAAGAGAGAGCGAGTGAGAGAGAGACGTTAACTGGGGTGTGGGGATATTAGTTTTATGAAGGGAATTAGCCAACAAGAAACTAAGTACCTGACAAAGGTGTCGGACTGACGAGGCTGGCCGACAGCAAACATATGGAAGCTGCAAACTGGGAATTATTCGCTGATCATAGGAAAATAACAGCAAATGGACTTCACGCTGAAACCACATATAATCAATATTGTCATTTAGAAAGAACAACAGAAGACTCACAAATACATTGGTCATCAATGAATTAAAGTTACCTCCTCAGAATTGTCGTCTGAATTCCTAAGGTAATCTGCCAATGCAGAGAGGCGGTTGTTTTTGACATTCTTGCTGTTGCCAATACTCAAACTGCCATGTCTTGTGTGGCTGCGCATGCCCCCTTTGCCCCAGACAAGCCTCTCTGAGCTGCCCACATGCCTGGAAGATGCTGCACCAGGGGCTTCTCTGTTTACTTCCGAGTCATTGTCTTCACCAGCTCCATCTGAACAAGCAGCCAAACAAGGAGGCTGGGAGAACTTGGCAGCTCCTTGTGTCCTGAATCCTTTTGTTCTCCGCTCATACCGCTCCGTTTGTTCATCAGAAGAAGAATCTTTGCCTCCATCTTCAGCAGTTGGATCCTCAATGTCATCAGATGTTGGAAATTCAGCATCATTTCTGTAGCTCCTTTTCCCCCTTGAGTGGTTGTTCCTGTGGTTATTATTACCTCGCAACCTCCTTACAGAAGGAGGGCGTTTCTTACTAACAGCTTCGGACTGTCGATGCAAGGTCTGAGCTATGGAAGCTTGAATCTGTCCCAATAAACAACCATACCCGATATATTCTGCCACTTAATGCATCATGTTCGCAAAAAAAAGGACAAATTTAACTACCTTTTTCCCTGAAATAACTGTTTCCTTTTAAACTCCATGGTTATTTAATATTTTCCTTAAATTTCCATTGCTTTGTGATAGATTCCTCTGCTTCTCATACACCCAATTCAGGAAAGGAAAACACTTGGAAATACGTCTCACCTGCTTATTGCGGACTCTCTCTTCTTCCCGGAAAGCCAGCTCCTACAGGAGTGAAACAAAAAAAAAAAAGAAAAAAAAAAAGCTTAAGTTGATGGAACATATATGCAAACCCCGGAATGAGAAGGGATAAATCCGGGAAATCATACATCTTCCTCATACTTCTCAATATCTGGATATAAAGCAGAAATTAGAGAATCATAATTTGGATCGTCTCTCAGTGAGCGGCGACTAGCACAATGCGTGCGGCAGGCAGGACATTCCTTGTTGCTGCAGAATATATCAATTATGAGGTTAAGGGATGAACAAAGGATCCTCTCACAAATCAACCACTAAAACCCTTCTTTTTGTTTCTTTATGTAAAAGATTCAGGTAAGTGCATACCCCATACGCATAGATTTGTCAATGCATTCTCTGCAGAAGCGATGCAGGCACTCCATCACTGTTCTTGTTTTCCTAATAATCCCTGCAATTCCAAAGAATTGCCCGTTTTACATTATTTATACCAATCGAAGAAACCTGGCACATCCTTTTATGCAACAACCACGAACATTTCAAAGTGGCTACATCTGCATTCTGCAAATTACAAACTTTGCAGAATTCTCTTCTTACATGAATGGCAAATTAATATGGGAAAAGGCAATCATTTTGGTTTGATTTCCTGTGTTTTACAAGTTTGCATGCAATAACTACTTGAATGAATAAAATGCATCCCATTATTCTCTAAGAATTAGGTATAAAGTTTAGTGAAATTTTGAGTCTGTCGAACAACTCTCTCTGCAACAGCTTTCACAATAGAAATGCATCAACATCTAGACATATTTAACATTCAGGAAAAAAGGGTTAAGAAATGAAAGTATCAAATATAATTAAGTTTAAGCTCAGCACATTGGAAAACATAGCGGGAAAGCAGTTCTACCTTCACCCAAATGCCCCATTTCAATTCAAATAAGAAAGATAAGAAAGAACACATGAAACACCTTAAGCAATACAAGAGATATTGTCAAATTTCGTCCATCAAATAAAATAAACAACTTTAGAACATTGAGCATAACGTGAATAAAATATATAAAAACTATGTTTAACCAGTGAAGTAACTCTAACTGGACGAGAATGTAAATGTAATGTGTCATCTGGAACAATACGTACAAAACAAAGTATCGACATGAACCATACCCAAGCATATTGGACATTGAACTTCTTTGCGGATATCCGAAAGTTTTACTACGATAAATCTGCACCCATGAAGAATGGAGAACAGTAGAGTTATGGCCGAAATGAATCAAATTCGAGAAACATCATTTCATTTTTTGTTTGTTGCATGATAAACAGTTATTGCCAAAATAGAAGCAAAAATGAACAAATAACTCCCTTAGCCGCTACTAAATGCCCTCGACAACAACGTTCCGTACATATGTGCAGTCGATATATCTGATCGGAGGATCAGTCGCAGCTATCGGCGGTGACCCAGAAAATTAGCAAACTCAACTCCATGGACCTTCCTTAAGGCTAGGGCCGAACACGTTTTTATGAGTAGAACCAATAGAAAACCCACGATAGAAACTATTGGGAAGCCATGGTCGCCATGGTAGCGGATTCCAGTAAACAAACATATTCACGAAGAAAACCAAGCAGATCTCGAAATCGAATCCAATCACTAAAGCATTAAACAATTATACGGTGCGGGACAACGTAATAATTAATTGAAAAGAAAATAAGAGGAAAACTAAGAAGAACGCGCGAAAGTAGTGAAGGTAGCGGACGTACTCGTCCTTCTCTTCATTGCTGGACGACGATGGGCTTCGATCGGATTCTGAAGGAGATGCGTAAAAGAGAGAAAATAAACAAAGAGGAAATCACAAACTTATATAATTCGAATGAAAGCAAGTAATGCAGGAAAGAAAAATCAGAAGAAAGCTCTTTCCGGTTCGTCGAAAATACAGAGAAATGAGGTTGAAACAAAACTTACGCTCTGAATCTCCATCTTCGGGATGCACACTGGAGCAGCCATGGTCGCGTTTGAGAGGATCATCCTCGGATGACTCCGGAGCGCGCTTCTGCGCTGGCATTGCTTTCCTTCGAAGCAGAATTTCAGGCCGGCGGAGAAAAAAGAAGCTTATACAGTCACGGCTAATTGAGGCGGCGGAGATGGTGGAGTTGTGTAGGATTGCGGTCGGAGATGGAAACCGGCGACTGCGACGGAGGTGGCGGAAGGACCGTGCCCGACCTTCACCAGAGAGGGACTCCGGTCTTAGACTCCAAATTTCCTTCGTATGGGATTGGTCTACAAACTGGCTTCCAAAGTTAAAATCAACTTTGTTTTATATTAATTTTACATTTTTTAAGGTATGTATTTTTACTTTTTACATTTTTTTTTTTGACAGAAAAAAACTATTGTGTATGCCCATTGACCCACCCCAGTAAGAAGTTGTTTTATTTTTTATTTGGGATAAATAAATTAATATTATTTTAAATTTCTTTTCGTGTAACGAAATTATCAATTAATTCTCGTAATAAAAACGAGTTATCTATTTATAAAAATATATCAACATGTCAGTGTCAGCCATTGTTTAGTTTTCGGTTGGTAGGTTGATTAAGATAAGCAATAGAATCCCCTTTAAAAGTATATGTATATCGCAAAATCGGCATATTGGAAATTGAAAATAATTTGCAAAATATAGTGTTTAATGATGTGGAATCACCTTAAATTTGCAAAAAAAATATTCATCTTTCTTTTATTTTCCTATGTATCTCATGTTAAAAGGGAAAACGAAAATTACTGATTATCCCATCTACTTCTAATTATTTGACGGCATATATTCAGCGTTATATCTTGAATTTGTCCATCACCATATAACAATAGAACAAACACCTCTAAATAAATCGTGTTTAGAAAGGACGGAATTTATCTTAGTTTAGGCCTTTAAATTACTCAAATATTTAAAGTGGCACTTTATATCAATCATCTTAAAGACAAGCATCCAACTTATCTCACCAACTTTATTTGTTTAGTCTATTGATCTTGTCATACCCAACGGTATCATAAATCAAAGTTTAAAGATCAGTTCTCCACTGTCATAAGTTTTGAGTATTAGGCAAACATACCAAATACCACTAGACAGGTGCAATCCCTTCCATGATAATAGACTAAACTTTAAGTTGTATACTCTATTGTTCAAAAAAGAGAAAAAGTTGTATATTCTTAACTCTGATTGTCGATTTTTTATATATCCTCTTATCTCGTCATCTTAATTCACCTTACATATTTTTATTATCTACATTGATGACTTTATTTTCATTTAAAATATGTAACACTAGGTATTATAAAAATATTTCTAAATCTATAAACATTTAATTATAAAAAAATGAAAATTTATTATGGTTACTTATGAATAAAAGCACGTTTATTAGTTTAAAAAAATATATTTTCATTTTTTAAATAAGTTTGAAATATATCTCTCATTGCATTTTAATTTACAAAAAATATCTAAATACTTTAAAATTTGTTAAAATTATGTCGTAGTTAGAGAATAGAAATTGATTGGAGTTGTTTGTCCAAAACTTTGATAAATAAATATTTGGAGGTGACACTTCAACGGTTTTTTTTCCCTTAAATAAATAAAAAAAACAAATTAAATTCCATTTTGATCTACAAATTGATTTAAACAGTAACAAAATAATTCTATTAATTATTTACAAATTTTGATATATCCTCGACTAATAGATTGTAGCTATAATGATAGGAATATAAAGTATCGAACTTCCCATCTCAAAGTCCTCATAATTTATTAATAAAAATATGTTCAATTATAGTTAGAATCATGAATTTTTATTTTCATTTAAATTTTAAATTAAGAGGTGGATTGAGTTATTTATTGCTATTGAAAGCCGTTTTTTTGCAAAAAAAAAAAAAAACAAATTAATTGCTTAACAAAGCCACCTTCATCCCCAATCGTTAGTTACCTATTATATTTATGTCAACTAAATGTTCATTAATTTATTAATCACAACTATTTGTTCATTAATTTAATTTATTTAAAAAGAGAATTAAAATTTCTTGTCCCCAATTATTTTCCACTTTGAGGAAAAAAAAAAGGCACGCATAATTTAATTAGAAAAAAAAAAGGGTAAAAGGAGTAGAGAAGAAAGAGGTAGGGGGCAATGGATCCAGGCGAATATGCAGCAGCTGCGGCTGCGGCTATAAAGTGATCATCAATCATCATTTCCCAAATGACACACGATTCAATACTCTCTGAGTTCCGACCAATAGATAACGGAGCTTCAGCTGCGGCTTCCGGTGAGGACTCGATGGTACTCCCCGTTTTCCATTGATAACCTTCACACAGAAACCAATGGGGGACAGTTCGAGTTACAAAGATTACGTCGCCGGTCTGATTGCCGGCGTTGCCACTGTCATTACCGGCCACCCTTTTGACACGGTTAAGGTAAGCTGAATCGCGTGTTCGACTTTAATTTCTTCAACCTTACGTATGCTTGTGGCTCAATCTTGTGGACTGGAATGAGGTTTTTCTTTTTGGGGTTTTTGAAGTTAGGTGAATTAGATTGACGCTTACAGCAAGATAAGGTGTTCGAATTTATATTTTCGAACTTGACCTGGATGCTATGTTTTTCTCATTCGGTGATTTCTGTGTCTCGTTTTTAGCTTTTGTGTTCTAAGTGATATGAAGGCAGAATTGATTTGACATGCGAAGTAGATCAGTGATTCTCTTTGTACATTACTTAATCAAGTTGTTGCAGAGTAAATTATTCCACTGTAACTATATTTACCAAGTATTTTGATTGCTTTTGTCAAGATGCCTTTTCCATTACTGTTTTCTGGAGCAACAATACCATATACCATGTTGTCTTGTCTGTACTATAATCCGGATGCTGGAGCACATTCACACTCTAATTTGTGATTATTTGTGGAAATAGGCTGCTATATTGTCAAAACTCAAAAGATTTCCATTTGAACCTAACATTAGTTAAGCAAGTTCTGCGAGTAAATAATTTATGCTGGAATTATTTCTTATATGCACATTGTCGTTCCACTTACCAGGTAAAGCTTCAAAAGCACAATATTGAGTCTCGTGGGATTACTTATCGAGGTGGTCTGCATTGCACTGCTAGGATACTGAAGACTGAAGGTGTAAGGTTCCTGAACTTTTGAGAAACAAATATAGGAAGTAGTTGCATATGCTATATCTGATTGGTTGACTAGATGTGCAAGGTTCCTGAACTATTGAGAATTTATTAAAATGAATGTAGTGGATGTGAATTGAATGCTTATCAGTTATCATCTTCATCATTCAACATTTTATTTTTTCCTTTTTGAAAAGATTCAACGATGTATATACCTGGTTATCTTGGAAAAGTAAATGGTGTTCTATTGGCTACTTGTTGCAATGTTGTTTGATTCATCATATGTTGCAAGCATTCCTTTCAGTGTTCAAAGAGCTCAATATTGTTCTTACTGACCCTTCTTCCGCATAAAGTGTAATGTCTCAGAGTTGATGCTATGGAAAAGTTCTGATATGCAACCTTCTCTCTTTGCTGCCCTTTTCCTAATGACCATATTTTGCAGAATTGAGAAATGACGATTTTGACAGGTGAGAGGACTTTACCGAGGGGCAACATCATCTTTTATTGGAGTGTCTTTCGAGAGTTCCCTTCTTTTTGGAATCTACTCCCGAACTAAACAATCATTGCAGGTCTGTACTGAAGAAATTGAAGCTTTCCTTTTGATTAGGATTTTTGGCCCATTTGCAAGCACGCTCAATGTTTGCCAAAACATCTCTACTTTAAGCTCAACAATCTTAGAATTTTTGGCTCATAAGGATTGTGTTGCATAATTGTGATATAGCCTTACTGGTCTCTCTTTCTTGACTGTGAAGGGAGGCGACCGAAGTGGTAGGCCACAGCCACAAGTAGTAATTCCTTCGGCAGTTTATGCTGGAGCTATTATTAGCTTTATATTATGTCCTTCGGAGTTAGTTAAGGTAGGTAAATCATGATGTATGAATTTCTCGTTTTCTTTGTTATGTTCCCATGTTAGGCTCATGACACTAAGCTTTTCCAGTGTAGGATGCAAGTTCAAGGCACTGATTCTCTCGTTCCAGTGTCCAGTAGATATAGTGGTCCAGCCGATTGTGCCCTTAAAACTATAAAAACAGAAGGGGTGAGACAATCCTCTATTTGAGAAACTTCCACCTGTGTTCTGGTTATCAAATGACACTCTGTTTTGCAGGTTACTGGTATTTTTCGCGGAGGTTTTACAACACTTTTAAGGGAATCAATTGGCAATGCTGTTTTCTTTAGTGTTTACGAGAATGTTCGCTATTACATGCATTCACAATTACATGCCACTACGAGTGTCCAGGGCAACTTCATGGACATGGGAATTGGTATTTTGACTGGAGGCCTCGGTGGGGTGGCTGTGAGTTTCTTAGTACTTTATTCATTTCCAAATTGATGGTTATGTTTGAAGTTGTCATATTTTTTTTTGTACAACAATGGCATTCTCTGATTGTTGCACAGCTGACTAATATTTTCACTATACAAATTACCCAGTTCTGGTCAGCTGTTTTGCCCCTGGATGTTGCAAAAACTATAATTCAGACTTCTCCAGATAAAACTGCAACTAGAAATCCATTTATCGTATTGAGCTCGGTAAGACGTTAAACATTTCTTCATTTGAGTTGTTACCATCTCGCCAATTTCCACTCTACTACGATCAGTTCTTCATGAACAAGATGCTGAAATGAATCATTCTTCTAGATACATCGCACTGCTGGAATTAGAGGATGCTATACAGGATTAGGCCCGACCATACTCCGTGCATTTCCTGCCAATGCAGCAGCAATCGTCTGCTGGGAGCTAGCAATGAAAGTTCTTGGCATCGAGCGAGATTAACACAACCATTTCAATTCATCCCGTGGTGCTTCAAATTTCATGTTATTTCTATGGTAAGTTTTGATAGTCCTGCCATTGTTTGAGAGGATGATTATTGATTATAGACATTCACTCTCTTTCTTTTGAGTCAATGAGAGTGAAAGTCAATCAAAAGGCAATGTACTCCAAGTGTTTGAGTGTCATCTATTTTAGTTACCTTCACTTTTCGAGTTATGATTATGAATAATGAAATACGAAGGATTGCTAGCGAAAATGGAGAAAACAATCACAACAAAATACAGGTGCCAGTTGCAACCCATAATCATAATTACCATTGCAAAATGGATTAATGATCCATAATTATTTCAAATCCTGGAAATACAGAAAACCCTCCCCTAACGAAAGCAACTAAACTGGTCTATGGTACAAAGCAAAGGCCGGGATTTGACAGAAGAGAGAGAGCAGGCAAATTTGGTAATAATGGAAGATTGACCGGCCAAAAATAAAGAAAAAAAGAAACTTGGGAAAGGGCCAAGTTCAATGGAGAAAGAAAGCTAAAGTAAAATTTCTCCCTCTTTCATCGTTCTGCTGCTAATTTCTCAGGTTGAGCTCTCGCCATGAACGTCCGATGAGCTCTTCCGTCGCCGCTGGTTGTGTCCGGCCAGCCGCTTCCGGCAACTCCTTTTTGATTCATCAAACTCTTCAACCCCATGAAATCTACATTATTTCACAGAGGAACACAGAAAGCATTAAGCATGTTGTTATTTTTTCTTTTCAAATCTTTATGCTTATAAAGATTAACTGCTGTCAATGGTTAATGCATATTCCAACTAAAAGGTGGTGGTTTTAAATTCCCAATATGTTGTACTAAAAAACAGCAAACTAATGTTGATATTATTCCATGAGATAAAATTATGGATCTATAATTTTTTCTTTTTTTGACATGGGCAAGAAATTCAGAGAGGGTGAAACCCTAAATGCAATTTTTTTTTTTTGTTACTTCTCAACATAGGAGAGCCTCAAACCTAGATCTTGGGTGTCACTAACACCGGATGGTGCAATTAGTATTTGCCAATTGAACTATAACTAATTGTCAAATCTGAGCTTAACTCTATTAAGACTTCCATCTCCGACCAAAAGATCATTTTATAGTCAAGGACTACCGTTTTATTATTTGATACTATGGGGCTACCTAAATAATATAATGTCTGGATATATAGGGATTCTGAATTTATTACAAGAGTTTATGGATTTTACATATATGTGAAAATATATGAATATTTTTTTCCAACTAATCTTTATGCTCTAAACTATATCATTAACATAAAGTTTTCAACACACACATCAAAGGCTTAGAAATATGTTAGGGGTTGAAATCTTTGTATTCAGATATAAATCTTTAATTTATACAGTTTTACTTCATTATATATTTCTTGTAAGTGGTCGTGCAATCCTTGATTTTCTTTATTATTATTTTTATTTTTGGAGAAAAACTATGGGATGGTTTTTTTTAGTACAACAAATGGGGATGGAGGATTCAACGTTTGACCTAAGAAAATGAACAATATGTCTTACCTACTAAACTAAGCTCATATTAGTACTAAATGACAGATTTTAATGCTTAGATTTTTACAAAATCAATAGAAGTCAAATTATTATTATTATTATTTTAATTTGTGATTATAATTTATGTCGCTTAAAAAGTTTCATCCTCGTTTTATCCTTCCACTAGAATTTTTCAAATATCTTTTATAGTTGGTGTTATGGAATTTCAAACAGTTAGTATGTAGATATGGCAAATATCACTACTCAAAACCTATGACAATCAGCAAAGTCAAACAAATTTATCATGTCAAAATTTTGTAATGTCTAACTAAAAAAAATAGATGTCTGATCAGAGATTTAACCAAAAGTAGCATTTACATAAACCTGTAGTTTTAAATATTACATAGAGTTTAAAATCTTAAAAAGCAACATAATCCAAATTCAAACACATACTCAAAATATAATCTAAAATAACACTTTAAAAAAAAAAACTTTAAAAGTATAGGGATTTAACCGAGAATTAAAAAAAAAAAAAGTTCGGACCATTATTACATTACTCTATAGAATAATTACTATTTTCTTGATTTTATGGTTGATTATACAACTTCATATGTATCATTCATGGTCTAAAGATGAAAAAACGACAGTGATTTTAGTCAACCAACTCTCCGACGACCCAATTCAAGAGATCATGGAATTAATCCAAGAGTTAAATATACACAGTTTAGATTTATAAAAGTTGAATTTTTGTAATTTTTGTGACAAATTAAAGTATGGTTTGATTAATTATTAAGCTATTTGGTAGAGGGCAGAATGCAGATCTAGATTAGGGTTTAGTCCAAGATGATTGATTACCTGCTGCATTGCTGGCAGAAGCGTTTGTGGATTCCGGCCACCGGCACCACCGGAGCCTTGGCATGCGACTCACACACCTTATGCCGCCGGTGGTACCGCTTCGAACTCGACAGATCCGCATTGCAATTGTCGGCCTGACACGACGCCGCCGCCGCACCTCCGGCGTACCCAGATCCTGATCCTCTGTTGGTAGAATTAGCAGCAGCAGTCACAATTTTCTTCTTCTTAATGTAATCCCCTCCAAACCCTAATTCCCCATCGGCCTTATCTTGCTGCCGCTGCTGCTCCTCTTCTTCTTCCTCCTCCTCCTCCTCCTCGTCCATGTCGGAGTAATTGAGCCGCCTCTTTCCGTCAGCTTTTCCGGTGGCCATTATTAATTTGGGGAGCAGAGAGAAGGAGGAGGAAGCAAAAGATTGGTTGCTTCAAAGGAAAGAAAATGGAAGAGAGTAGACATGAGGAGTACTAGAGCTGAGGGTGAGGACCACAAACTCCATTTTTTGGGCCTCTTTTTGGAAGGGGCTAAAACAAAAACAAAATAAAGCAAATGGGGTTTGCCAAAAATTTCTTTTTTAACGCCAAGATTTTTGCTCCAATGATGCTTGAGTCTTGAGAAGCCAAGTTGCACTAAACAAGTACTTTAATCCTAACCCACCACTCACAAATCAGAATCAGTCTTCAATGGAGGATTATATATTTTTTTTATTCTTTTGGGGAATACAATAATATTCACCTCCTCCTCCTTACGAAAATTTTTTCTTCTTCTTGCTCCTTTATCAGATATAGAGATTTTTATTAACCAATTGTAAAGGAAGCGTTTACCGTTAATATATATAATAAGTTTGGTTGGATGTGTAATAAAATTTAGGTTTTAACTACTATTTTAACTTCTATACTTTGATTCATTTTTGTCCAAAACTTTTTTTTTTTTTGGTTTTCAAAAGTGACAATTTTAGTCGTTTGATTTTCACTTTTATCTAATTTCTTCCCGTCACAATTTTATCACGATACTTCACCCATTAATTTTTTTGAAACATAACCATAAATTTGTATTAAAAAGATTTTATTTTGAATAAAATTTTGTAAACAGATACTAAAAATGATAACCATAAATCATATTGTATATTTGGTTGGAAGGAAGCAATCCTCTCTTCACAGACATTTCTATACCAATGACAAAATCTGTGGGAGAACATAAAAACAGCCGCCTCTATTCTTGGTCCACAATTCGACATTCTTTGAACTGGAGTGTTTTTACTTAGTCTCTCTATATTGTATGTTCTCACGTACTTTTTTAACAAATGGTGTTGCTCTCTAAAAAAATGACCCAAAACATATGAACTAAATTCGAAACTGCATGACCCAAACTAGACTTTAAACCAGGTTTAGGAGGGAGAAAAGTAACTTTTGTTGAGAGTGAAAATGGGGGCAAAACAAAGTACTGTGGGAAGCAGATGTATAATAATATAAATAATAATGAGATGCAATGCATTGGACCCATTTTATATCTGATCAATCTCTCTTAGTCTTATCTTGAATTTTTGACAGTAACTTTATTATATCTCTACGGAATGCTTTCTTTTCTGTTCACTTGCTTCCTGCTCTGTCAACCCTATAATTGTATCTTGTCCCTCTCCCTCACCTCCTTTCAGATTATTTATTGGAAAAACAAAAAAAAAAACCCTAATCATCTCTAAATTTTGGTTTTGGGCTCCAATAGATTTTGTTTTAATTTGGTCTTCTTCCAATTATGCCAAATATCATGAATAGTTTTGGTTGTTATCGCATGTATCTCTACAATGATGTGATATTGTCTGACTTTATTTGTACACCTTGAATAACCCCAACAAGTATAATATTAAGAATCGTAAAAATAATAATGGAAGAAAAATGATGATGAAAATTTGAAACCCTAAAAATGAAGAGACCTAAATTGGTCCCCAATGTAGTGGGTGGTGGCTAGAGCCAGAGGGATAGGTGAGTGTGCAGCACATTAAGTAGAGCTTTATGTTGAGTGGGTCCAATTGGTTTTCAAGTTCATCTCAGTGTACTTGTTGGCTGTTGCTCACATTTTGGGAGCAATTAATTCACTTCAAATCTTTACCACACCCATACGTGTGGAACCACTACTTCTCTCCTCTCAATTATTGTTCATTCATAACATCTCATTTCTCAATTCTTCCCTTTTCTTTTTCAAGACATACCAACGATTTGAATTTCTACATTTTGGTTGATAAAGCTATGCTTAAGTTACCTTCTTATTTCTAATTAAAAATATTTTTTTAAAAAATAAAGGATCAATTTTAATACTGCAGATTAGCTTCAAGCTCACTTTTCCTCCTTAATTAACAATCCAAATTGATGTGTCCTTTACTATCACAGTGAAGAATCATTACCTTGTTGCATTGCCCCTTCACTAACGGCCTTCTTTCCATCTCATGTGGAATTTATGGTTGAAACACAATAATCGTATCTTTTTGGCCTCCAAAAAAACTGGCGCTTCTAGGACATTACTTGTAACGCCCCAGACCTAGGATATCGTCATCATATCCTTTCGGAGGCCAAAAGAACTTGCGCTTCTAGGATATTACTTGTAATGCCCTAGATCTAGGATATCGCCCAAGCATTCCCCTACGACAGCCACCGTTCTAGTTCTGAGCTACTTAGAAGAGTCTTCAGCATGCTTTGTTCTCATTCACATGTTTCATAGTAAAGCAACTAGAGTTACCAAAAAGGAAGGTGCACCTTGTTGGTATAAGCAGTAACTATTAATTCTTTTAAGCATTTTTTAATCATGGTTCCATGGTCTCAGAAATTCCTTCTCATTCAGATGTGGTATCTACTCGGGTGTTACATGCCCACCAGCTTTCGCTTTCATGTGACGCCCGAGTAGAGAATAAGGGTATATGAATGAATCGATATCACATCCGAATGATCAGAAAGATACTGAAATCATGGAAGAATGGTCAAGAAAATCTTAAAAGAAATAATAGTCACTATACCTATACTAACAAGGTGCACCTTCCTTTTCGTGGCTCAATCGTAAGAACTTCAAAATTAAGCGTGTTTGGTTTGGAGCAATCTTGGGTTGGGTGATCTACTAGTTGCTTTACTAGGAAGCATGTGAGTAAGGACAAAACATGCTGAAGACTCTTCTAAGTTAGCTCAAAACTAGAACGGTGGCGCGACTCGATCGCATGGGATGCAGGGGAATGCCGTGGCGATTACGGCCAAATTCAACTACTTTTCTACATTTTTAGAAAGATTCTTGTTTGAATAATGAAGAATCATTGAAAAAATTATTCTCGTGCGTATCTAGCTAACAAATTGTAAAATATATATTTGGTATGAAATTAATATGGTTTAGAGACTCTAGAGCTAGTTTTTTTTTTTTTTTTTTTGGAATTTGTAATTAGTTTTTGCAGAGTTAATTAATAGTTTATTTCATAAATTTATCCAATTTAATGTTTTGCAAAGCTTTAATTTCATTAAATAAGTGAGTTTTTGGATAGGCAACGAGTATAACATTTTTTTTAAGTACAAACAAGAAGCATAAGATTGATTTAAATTCAGGTCTAATTTAATGAAATTAAAAGTTTACGACGTGCCAACAAAATTTTGACTACAAGTGGGTTGAATTTGTATAGTATTTTTCTTCCAACAAGAAACATTTGCTCTTGTTCTTACGTCAGTAAAAGAAAATGATCATGTTTATCCTTTTAAATGAGACTTGTTAAATTCTAATAAAACTCTCAGCCTCATATAACCCAAAGTCGTCCCAATAATCCAAATCGAACCATATGGCTACACTTTTTGGCCTAAAGTTTTGGTTTCCTCATTTTAATTTAAATCAAATCTCTTCATTTACCTTTTATCTCCCTCTTTCTCTCTCACTCTCTCTTTATGTAATAGTTTCTTCTTTTCTCTTCTATTTCTTCACTTAATTAAATCAGGTCCGTTCAATCATGTAGACTTGATTATTTATGTAAAATGAAAATTACAACTCAACTAAATGCCTATACTTTTATCTTATATGAATTTCTCCTAATAAATAAAGCATGGAATGAGATGGTCACCAAACCAAATCATAGTAAATAAGTTATGAGATTTAAATATGGTTTTGGTTCCTTGAATTTAATCAACTTTTTTGTTTTCCATTATGTTATGTTATGTTATTTTTTTTTTATTTTACCAAGCTAATATGTTAATTCTTTGTGGTTTTATAATAAGATTGGTGTCTTAATCTCTTATATATATATATAATATCTTTATAGGATCAGAATTGAGATTTTTAAAATGTTCAAATAAGTACTAAAAAAATTGAATAAATAAAAGGTTAAAAAAATGTTACAATAAAAGCTATATTTTAACTTAAATATAAACCACAGGGATAAAACTAACTAAATGTTTCTTAAATAAATGAAAGCTCCCCAACTGAGATTTTCAAATTAAAAGGTTGTGTTAACCTTTTATTAAGCTCAAGTAAAAAATTCAATACTCAAATCTATGTGATGTCATGCTCATGCATCATGCTTTGCTTACTCATAATTTAATAAATGAAGAAGAGACAAGTTCATTAAAAAAAAAAATAATAATAATAAAATAAGAGAGTTGAAAACTTATATCTTTCTATATTATATTCGCACACTTAACAATTAACATACAAACATATAAAATTATCAATAAATAAATTTATGTAGTATATAGATTATTAATCCGTACATCAAAACATATATATTCTTATTAATTAGTAATATTTGCTTAATAAAAGTTAGGTATTGTCCTTGTCCACGTAGTAAGAACAAAGCAACATGCTATCTATTTCACAAACACAAAATAAAATTATTAAAAAAAAAAAAAACCTAACAACAACAAGATATTCTTTATTATTTTTACAACCCTAAAAATATGGAGGCATGTTTCCATTTATATCTCAATGGATGTCTGTAATTTGACGACATGTATGATTCAACCATGAAAATTCGTAGTACACGACTTTTTTCTATAATGTATTTTTAAAATGATCAACTTTTTTAATAATTACAAAAACAACAATTTGAAGTTAATAAAACAATAGTTTTAAAATAATTAAATCTGTATTGTATTTTCTTAAAGTTAGAGGTTGGAATTTGGTCTCGACTATACCCTCATATCCAAGTCCTTCGGGCTTTGGGTTGGCAATAGAGGCCCAGCTCAGTAAACTCGTTGACAGTCAATCACACCCAAAAGAAAGCCCATGCAAGCCCAGTTAAGCACTGTGTCGGAGGCCCAATTAGGCCCCTCCCGACAGATCCAAGTGTCGGTGAAATAAAATGTACCAAATTGCAATTATTTTATAGGCAGAAATAATGATGGAAACGTTGGCGGTGCGCGTCCGCCGTACACTAATCTCAGCCGACCACATAATGGGCTAAATTTACAAAGCAGGGTCCCATAAAATTAGGGCTAAAGTGGGCATGATTAGTGGCTTTTTGTAAGAGTAATTAAAGCTTGCTTATAATAATTATTCGTAGTTGA